TGCAGAAAACCCTGCAATTTTCCCAACACGAAACCGACTGATTCGAAAAGCAATTCGGGAAACTTCCAAGCCGGCACGCGTTAACGGCAACCGTAGCCGGCGAACAAAGCCGTCTGTTATTCGTCACAGATGTGACAACGAGAGTTCGTTACCTCGTCGACACTGGCGCAGAAGTTAGCGTTCTCCCAGCAAATCCTAACGACCGACTACACGAATCGACCCTAAACTTACAGGCGGCAAACGGAAAACCGATCGCTACGTATGGCAAAACGTACGTTTACCTTAACGTGGGTTTACGCAAACCCATCCACTGGATTTTCGTTGTTGCAGATGTTTCTATGCCAATCATTGGTATGGACCTTCTACAACACCACAATCTAATCATCGACACGCGCAAACGGAGGCTAGTAGACGGAAACACTAATTTGTCCGTTTGCGTAACTTCTTTTACTGGTTGTAGAGTATCCCCAGTCACAGTTAAACATATGATAGACCCACTCTATCAACCACTACTCGATAAGTACCCTGGGATACAACAAACTCAACCGAAACTACCGTGTGTAACCAGCAATGTTACACATCACATCACGACTACAAGACCACCTGTATTCTCTAAAGCACGACGACTAGCTCCTGAAAAGCTAAGGTTAGCGAAAAACGAGTTCGACCATATGATAGACTTAGGAATCATACGACCGTCAAGTAGCCCATATGCATCTCCGTTGCACATGGTCCCTAAAAAGGACAGCAACGATTGGCGTCCAACTGGTGACTATCGGCGATTGAACGCGAAAACCATTCCCGATCGTTACCCGTTGCCTCACATTCACGATTTGACAGCTACCTTGAAAGGTACAACTGTCTTTTCGAAAATCGACTTGGTTAAAGCGTATAACCAAATCCCTATGGCTACTGACGACATACCGAAAACGGCTATCATAACTCCCTTCGGACTCTATGAATTTTTGCGAATGCCTTTCGGTCTAAGGAATGCTGCTCAAACATTCCAAAGATTCATAGACGACGTTTTTCGAGGTCTCAACTTCGTACACGCGTATGTTGACGACTGTCTAATCGCAAGTCCGGACAGAGAAACACATCTCAAGCATCTGGATCTTGTTTTCGAACGACTTCAAAAACATGGCATAACTGTAAACGTTCAGAAATGCCAATTCGGAACCGACTCGTTAGACTTCCTAGGACACACTATCGATGCTCAAGGCATTCGACCTCTTAGGACCAAAGTGGCGGCCATTCTGGATTACCCAGAACCGACCACCGTCAAGCAATTACGCACGTTTAACGGTCTGGTAAGTTTCTATAGACGTTTCATACCCAAATGCGCATTACTTATGAAACCTCTGACCGACCAACTTCGTGGAAATGCGAAATCCATTAATTTGGACGACACCGCACGAAAAGCATTCTCCACAGTTAAGGAACTGATTGCTAAAGCAACGATGCTCGCACATCAGGACACCCGAGCACCCATTAGCATCGCAGTAGACGCATCCGACTCGGCAATCGGAGGAGTCTTACAACAATGGGTTAACAACTCCTGGCAACCCTTGGCATTTTTCTCAAGAAGGTTGCTAGACACCGAATCGAGGTACAGCACATTCGGTAGGGAACTCCTAGCTATGTATTGTGCTGTACGGCATTTCCAACACTACATCGAAGGCCGTGAATTCACTCTTTTCACGGACCATAAACCGCTCACTTTCTCGTTAAGCTCTCCTTCTGACAAGTACTCTCCACGTGAGTCTCGACAACTGGACTACATTTCGCAGTTTACTTCAGACATTCAACACATCTCTGGAGCAAACAATGTAGTTGCAGACGCTTTATCTCGTATAACTTCCTTGAACAGTTTCCAAGGAATCGACCTCCTTAAACTCGCCGAGCTTCAAAAAGAAGACAGTGATCTTCAGCACGAGTTATCGTCCACAACACTTAAACTACGCATCAAACAGATGGGAACAGGTAAGGAAACCTTACTTTGTGACACATCTACAGGTAGGGATCGCCCAATCGTGCCGAAACATTATCGACGCAATGTCTTCAACACATTGCACAAACTTTCGCATCCAGGTGTTCGTGCAACCATCAAGCTTATAGCAGAAAGGTTTTGCTGGCCTGGAATGAATAAAGACGTGAGGGAGTGGGCACGCTCCTGTGTAAGCTGCCAAAAATCTAAGGTTATCAGACACAATAAATGTCCCTTAGGCTCGTTTAAAACTCCCGATGCTCGTTTCGACCATGTTCATCTGGATTTGGTAGGACCTTTACCAGATTCGAATGGATACTCTTATCTCTTAACCTGCGTAGACCGTTTCACTCGATGGCCAGAAGCAGTACCTATCAAGGACATCACTGCTGAAACAGTGGCTCGCACCTTCGTCGAACGATGGGTAGCAAACTTCGGCTGCCCTTCAACCATCACCACAGACCGCGGACGTCAGTTTGAATCCGATCTTTTCCGTCGTCTGACCACTCTTTTAGGAATCACTCGCTTCCGAACGACCGCCTACCATCCACAAGCAAACGGGTTGGTAGAACGTTTTCACCGACAACTGAAAGCTTCGCTATCAGCTGCAAACGTTTCACAGTGGACCGACGCTCTTCCACTCGTCTTACTAGGTATCCGCAATGCAGTGAAAGCTGACATTGGATACACTGCGTCTCAACTCGTTTATGGAACGACACTTCGACTTCCAGGAGAATTCGTGGATCCTTCATCCTCTTCAATGAACATGGATCTAACCTCCTACACGAACAGGCTTACAAACGCAATGCGTTCAGTTAAACCTGCTTCCACTCGACCTCAATCAACTGATGTTTTCGTTCAACCTGACTTACGATATAGTACACACGTTTTCGTTCGTCGAGACTCGCATCGACGACCCTTCGAATCAGCATACGAAGGACCCTTCAAAGTTCTTCAACGTGAATCTAAGTACTATATAGTCGATAAGAACGGAACCAACGATAGCATCAGTATCGATCGCTTAAAAGCAGCGTATTTAGAAGGAAATCCTATCTACGTGGATTTTCCTTCGGTACAATCGAACGACACGACTCCGACACTTATAATACCTCATCCGACAACCAACACACACGATGATACTTCGACAGTATCCGAAAATAAACTTAAAACGACGCGTTCTGGAAGAAGGGTGAGATTTCCAGAACATCTAAACGACTATTGCACGTAAGGCACTTCTCGACATTTTATATTATTTTAAAAAAAAAACAATTTTAATATGCTTATATATTTTTATTTCTATTTAAAAAAAAAACAAAACAAAAAATTTTTTTAACGCTATTACGTGTTCATGAGTTTATTTTCCATTTTTTTTTCCGCCGACATTGTGCTTTTACGCACATACGAGTGTATTTCGACATGCACTTACATTTTCTTTTTTCTTTTCCAGGACGGCTGGAAAAGAACGATGACGTTTATGAGGATCCGAAATTTTCCATGTACATTTTCTTTTTTACTATGTTGTACCTCCGTCCCATATAGTAAGGAAAGACGACCAGACGCTGCTAAATTTAGTAAGCTATCAGAAGAGTGTTTACCAACGACAAACTCGTTGGGTTTAAACTTCTGGCTGGCCACGTCTTAGGGTCGTCACTGCCCCACTAGGGGGGGAGTGATCTGTAGCGGTAAATAAATCCCCAAAATAAATAGCACTAAGTTTTCGACATTGGATGCTGACCATATGTTTTAGTGGACTCACCTAGCTGAAGGCGCTCGGTCAGGCATCCGCACCAGATCACGTGTGGTAACGCCGTGCTCAACATCAACCGCAATCGCTAGCCAGATTAGATCAGAGAATTCCGATATATTGGTCATCGCCAAATATACTCTTCCGATCTCCTCGACTCTGTCTTTTGATTTCTCTGGGCGGGAACGAAATATATTAGAAGGTGTTACTGGTAGAAGCGTTGTCAAACACTGAATACCTGTGACATCATCAATCGTATATCTTCAACTTATTTTTTGTCTAACTATAAAAATTGAGATTTACACTAGAATAAAGTAACAAAATGTAAGTCATCAAGGTGAAACAGTAAAAGACAATGAAAGTTAACTAGGTAACATAAGGTTTTGTTGAAGGAGACCTGAATGAAATACATGACAGGGGTAAGGTACAACTAAAAAATGCTGCCCAATTAAACACTGTGGATGGATTTCCAACGTGTACTTGTTACATCTAGTCTACGGGTATTGTTTTAAATACTTGTCATAACCACACCAATGAAATATCAACTATAGAACTTGTACAATTGACAGTGAAAGCTGTCCTACAATTGATCATCAGTCTTGGACTTAGTTAAATAACGGGTTCTAATGAGTTATACCAACGAAAGATGACGTAGTTAGTTCTATAATTAATTATGAACAGAGACAGATGGTGTCTCGTCACCGACCTATCAGACTAACCAGCATTGTAGCGTTCTTTGAGCATCCAATAGCTTTGACAAGGGGACATTTTAGATTTTATAACCCACCTATGTACGATCTAGCAGTCTACACCTGAATAATCATACTAAGATGCTCAAGCGTGTTTAGCGTGTAAGAACAAACTTGTTGAAGAGTTTTTCCAAACTCAATTACTGTCAAACTATTCGTTCTAATCTTGACGAATATTCCTATATCTTATGATGAACGCTTAAAACGCCTGAATCATTTCAACTTATCGTACCGTAGGACGCGAGGTTACCTTACATTGGCATTTTGCATCTTTATTAGTGATTTGTGCGTTATTTTGTCTCGTTATTTTTCTCTTCAGGACTAGACAAAGATCTCACAAACACAGTGGGGTTCTTTATTTCTCATCAAGTTTTTAATGACTGTTACGCCTTATTTAAGTGGTATCAGCCTCATCAGTAAACGTTTTCAATGGAACTTTGCAACTGCACTGGAAAATAGGCTTTAACGATTAACGCAGGTTCGCAGACTTACCATCAGTAATGTTGAAAACTGGAGCGGTAATTTTGTAAAGTGAGGTACCTTGTCTTCATACTGTGCAGGTTGCTCGACATCTATCAGCATCTATTTTGACTGCATAATGTTTTATAATTTATAGTCCTTAACTCATAGTAGAAACGTTCACCGTTATTGAGTATTTATTCATTATAGAGTACTTCCTGTGAAGGTTTTGCACTTAGGATTACACAACTAAATAAAATAAGTATAGGTGAATAAAGGTGGACTTTGAGGAAATACGGGCGACACTGGCTAAGAGAATTAGATGTTAGTTCAGGTAGCATTATGGCCAAAAGTTGCTTCTTTTACCTACGCTGGGAAAATAATGAGAGTGTTTACTCAAATATCTCCTATGGGGCGAGAATTTTACAAAACCAAACATTATTGATTGTCAAACTATCCACTTTCCCCTCAAACGTATGCCAACTTCAAAAATTCCCCGCACGTACGATTTTTATTTCACTTGTCACCTTAATAGCCCGGAAATTCGCTCTTGCTTCCCTAGGAGACTGGACATTAGTGGCGATGATAATTAACGCAGAATATAAAATTATTTTGGTCGTTAGTATTTAACAGAATTAAAATAGACATGAACATCCCAATGAGGGCTACACGTCTTCGTGTTGTCGTCGTTTGACATATGCTAAAGAAATAAAATATATAAGTGTATGAACGGTCTAAATACTGTATATGAAAGTGGTAAATAATTCGTGCATTGCAAAAATGATTTACGATAAATGATGGATAATAAGCTCAGCATTTTGTCAAGCTGCCTTATCAATGCAGTCTTCATCATCATTGATTATATTCTGAAATGTAATAAAACATGTACAGTTATGTTGAGTTTCAATTCAATCTACTTATTAATCATATATTATAAAATTGGGTCAAGCAGTAATGTTGCACACAATACCCTGTCGTGCCTGGGAAATAAAATGTTTATGAGTTGGAATTATCACTTACATTATCTTTTGTTCTTTGCTAAAGCTTGTTTAGTTTTTCCTTCATATCATTTTTAAAATCGTGTGTTGTACTGTCTATAAGTTTTCCAACTCCTTTTCCGCTCATCAGTAAGGATGTAAATTTTAATATTAGTGGACCTACATTACAGTAGTTAGAACAGGACATGCTTACTAATGCTTCCATATAATCGAAGTTTACTGAGGCTCATGTTATTCACTGTTCCTAATAAGGTGAAGTTAATAGACAAATATGGGGTAAGGATGTATTCCGGAATTTATATAAGTGATGTATTTGGGTTTTCGTCCACTGGGTTACTAACCTTGCTCATCTGAATTTTGAATCAATCTTCTAATGAACAGGCGATCGTACGAATCTGTTCCCTACATGTTTCCAGAGTCACCGACTCTTCCTCAGTTGATAAAGGGAAACGAAACCCCGACAGTTTGGAAGTACTATTCGCCGTTGGCTGAAACGCTATGTTGTTTACAACCTTCATTAGTTGTTTAACATCCGCAAACACGTCTGATATTGCTGCCAAAAAGGCGTTGCAGGCTAGCACATAATTTTGACAGGCTATTAAAGTTGATATAATTGCCCTCATGACTTATTCAATCCTTTGATTGTATGTTGGTGTTGATGTAGCAGTTAATTGGTGTACTTTTATCCCAGTTGGACTTGTTATATATATTTGTAATAAAAGTAGGCTTACTTAGCTACCGGTGGCAGAGACGTTTCAGTTAACTGAAACATAGGATGCTTTATGTTTCTGATTCCTGCCTGCATTTTAGCTACATTCCAATCAACTCAATGGTATAAATAACCGTATTTTCGTTCCAGTGGCTTTCTACCAATAATGTATAGGCTTAATGTAATAACATTTTAGACTTCACAAGGCTCAACGGCACTGTGTTTTCATCGATGCTTCCTGTTGTGTTTGCACCAATGATAGCGCTCACGGAAAACACGAAATCTTTAGCAGCATCGAAATCGTCTACCGTAACTTTAGTAATTTTTGTTGCGACTTGCCAGTATAACGCAATATTTTGTGTTATATGACAAACCAGTCTTCTGTTACACTGACCTCTTCTAGTATGTCAACGTTTCCGATTTTTTCCATATACATGGAGTGACTGTAATTCAAAATCTATCTGGCAACTAAAAGAAGTTGCTTCTTTAGCCCGGCCTCAATGATAGAGAATTTCTTAGCTTGATGCTGAGAAAAAACTAAGTGAGAATAGTTGATTCAAATTTAAAAGCATCATTGTATTATCTTAAACATAAGGTGTCATTACACAAGTGTTAAAGTTAACGGGATTACCACTTCGTATTTAATCTTCCTTACAGACATGCACATGCAAATAATGTGCTCATGACTAACTACTGAGCACATGAAAATACCTAGGATAACTAAGTTCATACCTTATGCTGACCCTTCATGCTTCTCCTTAGAACCCATCACATTTAGTGACGCAGGTGAATGTAAATGTCCGAACTATTCAGGCGCAAAGTGGACAATTTGGTAATCACTAACGTTTGGATTTGTAAGATTTTCGCCCCATAGGAGACATTTGGGTAAACAATATCATTATTTCCCCAGCGTAGGCGAAAGAAGCAACTTTTGGCCGTAATGCCACATTATTATTATTACACTACCTTACACTAATGTGGTCGACATTGTTTTTTTTCTCTTACGCTCCTTACCTTCCTTTTTCTCTTCCCATTCTCATTTTGTGGCGCATATATACTTTGTGCCCCCTTGTACCGATACTTAGGTGTTCAAATAAAATAAATAAATGCCACCTGAATTAATATCCAATTTCCTTAGCTAATGTCGCTCGTATCTCCTCAAAGTTCGCCTTTGTTTCCCCATTCTCGTTTTATTGGGTAGTTCTTAGACGGTCGTTTCTTAGTAATCTCGTCAATCTTCGAGGAAATCTGAATACAAATATTATGAAAACTGAGGAATTGTTTGTAAAACTACTTTTAATCTGATAAATGACCGAATCATATTACCTGTTGAATTGTTGGATTTCTATCAAGAAAATGGTTTACGTTAAGATAATCACAGATGAAATGTAGATCTTAAAGATTTCATATGCTACGGAATAAATAAATAAACATTTAATTTTCTCCTATATTAACCACAGATTCTTGATTTTGATGATCTCTGTACTCGTCGGCTAACGGGGGTTGTTTTTAGCGTCCTTTTAGTTAAGTTATATAGGAAGGTTTCATTGTTGGAAGGTAATTCAACTTTCTGATATATTTTTTGCACAGGCCCTTTAGGTTATTAGTTTCTGGGTATATTGTCACATAACTAGCGACTTCATGTTTAAATGGGCAATAACTAAGTGACGCTTAGCTCTATGACTTCCGAATAAGTTCTCTTTTTCAGTATGTAAACTCACGAGATTTCGATTTCACTGTACCATCAATCATGTATATCCCCTAAAAGTTTAACTCAACATAATGTCACAGGAATTCCAAATACATTCAAAACCTCAAGTATAAGATTAGCTGTGCTTATAGTTGATTATTTTGAGGTAGGCCATTATGAACGAACCTTGTTAAACTGTAAGATATTAACTAGAAACATTGAATTAGATCTATATCTTACACTGGCAATCGTTTATATTGTTTTGTAAGCTATAAAACTCTTAGGATATAGGCAAACAAATATGTATTTCATTTTCCACTTTATACAGATATGCCATCAACTCAAAATACAGTCGCTGGACGAGATCCGCGCTACTGTCGCCAGTGGAAGTGTCAAGTTTCTGTGGGTGAATTATATCGATGGATTTTAGCGAAACTTTCTGATAAAGATATCAAGCGGGCCCTGCACAAATACCGAGACCTAATGCCTAGACAGTCGGATTGGAACAGAAAACTGACACAAGCTACGAGTATGCCAGAGCTTGGTTTTCGATATCTGTATCGATGTGGACAGATAGACGAAAGTAACCATCGAACTATGCAGAAAATGCTAAAATATATCGATCGTCAAGATGTGCTGCCATATTTTGATACAATTTTGTATAATACCAACCATTCTAATTGTTCTTTGGAGGAGCTACAAAAAGGTAATGTTACCTTCGTCTTACCTAATCCCAATTTTAGTTCTGTTGGATAAAGTTAGCGTGTTTTTAGAATATTCTTCTACACTGTCTGAAGAAGAAGTACATCCAGAGCCTCCATATGAAATAATACGACGCCAGCCAGTTGAGGGTTCACGAGTCACAAGGTACGTATCTCTCATCAGTTTGCTTCAATAAGGTCAGTATGTGGTTCAAAAACACGTGGTCCTACTCGTACTATTTCCGTAACCTGTTTAAGTGTATTTATTAGCTTTCAACAAACAAAATCGTTTTTTAATCGAGCTAATAAATTTTTTCATCAGTATTAATACTCTAAGCCATAAGGAAATTTGCATTACTTTATCCATGATAACTTTTGTTATTAATAACGGGCCGCTGTGACTAAGGTTAAAGTCCCCTGTCCTTATTTCTTAGAAATCTCCCCACCACTAGATCGACTGTAGTTGACAACTTAGATGGAACCAGGTTATATTCTTTATAAGTGGTATATCCAGTGATTTATTATTTCTGTCGTAATTCAATTATCTCTTATGTGATTTCTCATCCTGAGTTTTTGTGTTCTATCTTTTTATCGAATAAATTTTATTCTAAAGATTAAGCCTGAAAAGAAAATCATCTGTTGGTGGTACTGGTAATATTGCATCTGTGAAGCGAGGGCGCCGGTCTACTAATTCCTCATCGGAGACTGGTCAAGTTAGTGATTTCGAAAATTCACCTCTCCGGTACTGTGGCAAAGTGCGATCAGCGATTATTTCCAATTCACTAAATGGTCCTGTTGTGCATACTATGCTTTCCGCGTCACTTATTAGCATGCTGGCATCTTTACATACTACATTATCTCAAACATTCGATAATCCCGGTGTATCGTCTATAACCCCTAATGCATCGAATAGTAATACAACTGGAAGTTGTATTAGTAGTTCAAATCCTTCTGTTCCTAAGAATCCTTTAATCTCTCATTTACTGGCTATTATCCCACATTTAATTGCTGTTTCACGTGCTGCAAATCAGTTATCTAATCCAAGTCTACTATCTAATCCAGCACTACCCTCTCGAATATCGAATCTTCCAAATAATGTAAATAATAGCAATTCAGGGATTTTTGGTTCAAGATTTGCTGGTATTCATAACAGACCGGTAATCAATGCGGATAGACGGCTGCCTCAACAGGTTCAAGATCACGTAGATCCTGCTGCTCCGGTTCTAGATAATTTAAACCACGAGCAGAACGTTCAAGATCCAATCCACCCTATCATACCTGGTATTCGTGCACCACTCATCAACCCTCCTAACGTGGAAGCAGACCGTCCAGGTGGACTGTTGTTTGCACCTCAACCTAATATTGGACTTGCAGACGGTGGATCACCTCCTGTAGTCTCTCAACATTCGACAAATCCCCCTGTTTTATTAAAGCATGTTGTTTTGTCAAGCGGAGGAATAGGTATTACTGCTTCGCCACATGATTCAGTAATCCATTATTATTGCAATATTAAACTGCATGTCAATATTGATTTTGGTCCTTCTACAGAAAGTTTAGTGAGTTTCCCGTCGCTTAACGTAATTCTCAATAATTTGTACGTTTTTTAAAGTTATTTAGATGTTATTAAATTTATTACCTCAGAAAAATTCACTCACTAAGAGATATTTTTAATTCGGACACCGATATCAGACAGTCAGTCACAACGTTGAACCTGGTACGAATGTACATCGGTTTGAGTTGCCGTACACCATCAACCCAAAGAGATCAAATTGTCAGGTCAAATCCCCGAATATTAGAGGTAGTAACAGTATCCATGGTAAAAGGAAAAAAATACTCATAGAAAATACTAGTCGAGAAGTTGTAAATTAGTGAAATGAAACCAAAAAAATATTATGAGGAGTCCACAAGCTCAGGATTTAGGAAAACGCAAAGAACAAATACACTTGCGTCATTACAAACGACCTTGAGCCATTTCATTTAGATTCTCTAACCATTGGTTATGATAATCACGTGAACCCAAAGCAGGTGGTCTACACCTATTAACATGGTTCGGTCTAACTCTCGATGACTTGATGAGCCAGTCAGTCAGCTACAACGTAGGACCAGGCACATATATGCATCGGTCCAAGTTGCCATACCTCCTTAACACAACAAGATGGACACCGGATTCATAAAAGTAGTTAATTCAGAGGTGGTAATATATAAAAGAAAGATTGCAATAAGGATATAGTACAGAAAGAAAGAATTAGTTCACAGAAAGAAAGATATGAAGCGATTTTAATCTCATAGATTAAGGGAAGACAGAGAGTGTATACACTGACGCCATTGTGATCGATTCTGAGCCATGTCACCAAGAGTCTCCAACCATTGGTTACGATAGTCACGCGGACCTCAACCAAGTAGTCTGCATCTACCAACATGGCTCAGACTAGAAGCTAGTGACTTCAAGCACTGATGCCACGTTTTGGTTTGGCCGCCCCTAATTCTCTTCCAACCATCCCGAGCACCGGTTAGCATTGTACGTCGTGGTAATCGGTGTTCAGGCATACGTAACACGTGGCCCAACCATCTCAGTCGATGAAGATTCACAACCTCATCAACTGATTTACCATCATTCCCTAATACCCTGTGTCTAACCTCACTATTATTTCCGGTGATCCCAGCAGACGCCAGCAATATTTCTAAGGCAGCTGTGGTCAAATACTAGTAGCTTACGAGTGAACTGTCATGTTTTAATTTGGCCACACTTAGCCTTCTCCCAGCCTATTTTTGCACCAGACAACATCACCAGTCGAGGTTGGCCATGTATAACACTTCACCCAACCACCTCAATTGGTGACGAGATGCCACATGTTTTTTGAATGATCATTTACTGTAAAATCATGAATTTTAAAGTTTACCAGTTTTTTGACAATTCATTTTTGAAGCGATGAATAATCCAAGGGGCTTTCTTACATTTAAAGTTTTCAGAAGCCACTATCTTTACCGAGGAAAGTAGGCTAAAATGTAAAGTTGAAGATTATAATTACTTTCAAACTTTTATTAGCTTATATTGTACTTTTATTTGTCAATAAAACAAGCGTTGGGTTTCGAAGTTACAGTTTTTGATTTACGTTTTGTATTTCCGACGTATATCATTCCTTACTTTTCCCTTGAAAATTATAAGAAGCCTTGATGATTGGAGCCATCGATTATTGATCTGAGCCATGTTAATAGATGCAGATTACCTGGTTGGTGTTCGCTTAATAACTGCGGTCAGTAGTTGGAAACGTTGGATGACATGACTCAGAATTAGTCATAGTTACGCAGATCCATTCACCATTAATCTTTAAGCCTTGAATCCCTATGTTTCCTCTTTTCATCTTGTCTTCTCGTGTCATGTTCCCTATGCTCAATCTCATCATCGCTACTGAGTCATTTTGATTTATTTGTTAGTTTCACTTCGTAGTGTTTTGATATGGCACATTGGGTCAGTCCACACTTAAGGGAGGGTCTACATTGATTATGACTGACATAGTGATATTGTACCAATTAGTCAGTTAGTTATAAACAACTTAGGACGTGGCATGTATGTGTAGTAAACGAGAACTCAGGTGGGAAAAACAAATTTATTATCCAATGCAATATTACAGAGTTCACGAAATGTGAAAACCATACGTTAAATACATTATTTGCACATCTTCCTTCAGCTGTCGTTTAAATGCTTCATGATTCTTTCAATTCTGTTATTAAAACTGCTCTCTGTATCCCTTCCTATTGTCTTTATTTCAATCTTCTGCTGGCAGACATTCCATATTCGATTGCTGCAACATACTACTTATATCTGTCAGCATAGATAGTATGCACAACATATGTACCTCGATTCAAGCTACCAAGCCATATAATTAAACAAGATAAAATTATCAAGATACATACCAAATTAATAGCGGTAGAAACAGTATTGGTGATAGGTGTGACAATGGTTTCACCAGTTTCTCCGATGGTAATGAATTTATTCATGCATTCCCCAGAAACCACTGCGGTCACAAATGTATAAATCCACCAAAAGTCGGGTTACAGTATGTAGATGACATTTTTATTATCGTTAAATGGAGTGGTTTAGAAGAATTGTTTGAAAATGTAAACAAAATTTCGGAGAGCATCAAGTTAACAAAAGGATATAGAGTCCAATGACTATAAACTAGAGTTTCTCGATTGTTTGTTTGAACGAAGATATAATAATAAGTTGAAAATAAAGCTATTCATGAAATCAACACATTCTGAGAGATAATTAGATTACGGTTCGGCTCATGTGTATTGTACAAAAGTCACAGTTGTAAAAATTTAATGAAAAGGAGTATTAATCTCATTACAGATAAGGAAGACCAACAGGTTGAATTGAATGGAGTTTTGTCTGCGCTTAGGGAATAACAATTACCCCAGAGTTCTTAAACAGGATTATTTGAAATAAAAGTAAAATTAAACTAGAATGTATGCCGAAAGACTGGTCATCCCATACCGTAGTGACACATTGGAAGAAGTCAAAAGAATTCTAAACAAACATGATATAAGAGTGTATTTTCGGGGTAGTGGCACCATAAGATCAGCACTAGTGAAAGTTATGGATAGGTTTCCAAAGGAAGAACAACAGAATGTTCTTTATGAAATCAACTGTCATGATTGCAATGCAGTTTATGTGAGAGAAACGTCAAGACAATTGAACGTGAATTTGAAGAAACACGAACAATGTTTGAAAAATGTTCCCAAATCCTCGGTTGATCTGAAGAAACTTGAGAATAGGTCGGCAATAGCGTTACACGAGTTAGAAACAGGACACAAGATCAATTTTGAAGGGACCAAAATACTTCAGGAAGATTTTGGGACATATAAAGAAAAATTGACAGCAGAAGCTCTCTATATATGGGCCAATAAGAACAGTCTGAACAGAAAAGATGGTATTCAACTAACTATCACATGGAAAAGGTCCATTAACAAGTAATTGGACACTTTCTCTATCCAAACTGTTTATTTAACATGCATCGTTATTCTGACAGAAATTAATCTGTAATATTTTAGCACTACAATTATATATTTGATGATTCTCATTTTACATGCACATCAATGATTCAGAAACAATTTCACTTATTTTTACTTCATATAAAAAAATTTACCACCGAATATCAACTATTAATAACTAAAACTTACACACACACATACATACACAATCAATCATTCATTCATTCATCTTAACATTGTGAACTTTTCATATGATTCACATACAACCGATTCATGTTATCCTACTTACAAAAGGTAACATCTTATTATGGTTGGATAAGCTCAGTAAAGATTTGATTTTATTATACACTATATATATATTTCTTTGACGAGTTCCATTTTGATTATTATCTTGAAGAAATCCTAAGCAAGTTTACTAGGCAAAATGTAATTAGATAAATTTCAATCGCTGAGATTATTATTTCAAATATAATTTTCACATAGAATAAATATTAGTGATAATAGAAAAGATTAAATAATTGTAATTGGTATTTAATTGACTGTTTATTCAAACCATACAATCACTATAAAAGCAAACCATATTTCAGGATTATTAAAGTTTAAAGGGTAGTTTTAAATCATTATAGTTCTTATCAAAAATGAGTAAAATCTTGGTCATCCAAAAGAAGAAAATAAAATCAATTATATATTTTAAATCTCAATAGTTGGAATCATGAGTCAATTGAAGCTAGACCACCATGGATTGTATAAATCGATTGTATAAATTTCATTATTCTGCTTTCTTTCCTTTTTCTTCTTCTGCAATTAGAGAAGAATTCAAACAGTTCGTCAAGATTTTTTTGAACGTCAGATTGATTTTTTTGTACAAGCATCAAATTTATTGAAAACTCGTTCACCAAGTGAATTTATTTGTAATTTACAATTTACACGACTTAACCAACTTGAAGATTTTTGGGCTGACTATCAGTCAGGTGCATTACGATATGTAAGTTTAATCAATTTATTTGTAATTTGGAAATTAAGTTTGTTATAGTGTTGGTTGATATGTTAAGCCCATAATATCTTATTCTAGCTTCTGGATAGGCCAATTTATTCATTCTTCTTGAGCCACGTTTTGACCTTGTTAATTATTCACTTATCAACCTTGACTGTTTTTATATGAGCGTATATGTGTGTACGTCTTGTCCTACTCACCACATGTAATGTAGCCTATTTTTGTGTGACTATAAATTTTGATTCACACTTAATCAAATGGAGTTGGCTCACACGTCGTCTCCACTGCGCGCCATTTCGTTTCGCTCTTTTCTATTTGTTTCGTCCCTCTGATTGTCTGTCCAGACCAATGATTGTACAAATATATGTATTAGAAATTCATTCTCGTATTTGACTTATTTTAATTCCATTATTCACCAACGCGATTTAAGTCGATAAAGACATACGAGGATAGTCATGATGTATATTTCGACAGCAGTCAGATCCCAGGCCACCTAACTGTTTTCTTTTTTCTCTTTATATCATGCCTTATTTAGTATGAGTAGTTATCTCAAAGCTTATTAAAATGCCTAGTATTTCTTACTGCTTAACTTCAACTACCCAACATATGAAATAATGTAATCTGGTAATTTTATTCAATGTGTTTTTTCTTTTATGTTTAAAAAAAGTATTAGCTTTCTTTATTCAGTCTGAGATATCATCCACCTATATACTTGCAGTAAATAGATCTTTCTAGTAAGCTTGATAAGGTAATAATTCAAAGATATTTTCGAACAAACACAAAAACAAATCGCATCTTAGGAAGTAGAGACTGCACCAATAATGCGATATAAATGATTGCTTTGTGGATAAACTGATGTTTTTTCTAACTATTCCTACTCCGTCTAACAATGATGGATCAAGGTGGAGAATAGTTGAAGATAAGTAACACCTCAGTCTATGACAATTTACAGCGTAGTCAACCGATTCCCCATAATTGTCTAGTCCTATACGTCGAACCTCAAGATTAATCAATCTGTGAAAAGTGCCTTGAAGGGACATTTGATCTAAAACCGGCAGTTTATCCATATCTTCTCTTTTCATAGGTTATCGATACAACTCAGTTTCCTAAATCGAAGTAGATGAATCAGGGTTTAAAACTGTGACCTACTAGTTAGAAAAAAAGTGTAGTCCTTCAATCACTAAGTCACCGCTGCACACAGTTCTCCAAATGTTTGATTCAAAGTGTTATAACAATAGATGCTACATATTTTTGATATTCTTTTCAAATTGATTTCACAAAATAATTCTGCTTATCATGAATGAAAATCTTTCCTATGATATTGTAATATTTCTCTGTTCCTTTGTTATCTCTCTATTTCCTAAATTAAGTATCTCATGTCTGTATTGAGAAGTGAAAGGAATCGAAGTTTTTTTGGTGAACCACCACAACAGATATCTTCCCAGTTCTCGTCAGTTGTCGAACAACATGTTGTGCCTGATGCTTTAGGTCAACAAAATCAGGTTGCAAGTGCTGTGAATAATGAAGGAATGGATGCAGCTGTTCCTTTAGTGCCTAATAATGCATCACAAAATTCAGCTGAAAATAATTCTAATGTTATAGTCAGTAGTGGTAGTAGTTCGAGGCCAGTTGATCCAAAAGTGTCTGGTTCCAATTCATCAGAATATTCTAATCATAATCCTGCATGCTCAACAGTTAATCTGGCTTCATCTTTAAATATGGCACAAGATGAAAACTCACTCAATATGTTGACATCTTGTATTGAAGCACTGAATCGTTCGTTCCATCGTATGAGACGTCGTGAAGTCACTAGTCCATCTCTACCTACAGAACAAGTGAATGAATTTATTAGATTTGAATTGAATCTATTTGTTTCACGTAGAGAATATGAAAATGGTCGATGCTTATTAATGCGTAATTTACGTTCTATACCGAGTTTATGTCAGCTGGTTTCAGCATCTTCAATATTAACACCAAATACTGCTGTTAATCCAATCAGTACAACACCATGAAATCTCGAGAGAAAAAACAGAAAAATTCTTATGAAGTCTTTCCCGTTGATGTTTGTTTATTATTTGGGAACAATAAAACATTTTTTATTCAGTTCTTCGATATTTTTTGTTCTGTATAGCACCTGTACTTATAATCAGTTGTATTTTTAAATCTTCTGTGTAATATGGAATAAAACATACATTACTTACTTTTTAATCTCAATGTTGGCAAAGAGCAGTCGATATTTATGTGAAAAGAAATTCAGTCGATCTTTGAAGATATTTATCGTTTGTATTGTTTTCTAAGTAGTTCACAAATCTTCATGAGATCTAATTAATTATGATTATTTTAATATTTTGAAATTGGTTTATTGTAAACTGCACAAAATATATGACTTTATCTCACATTACGTTTTGGAATATACCTGTTTTCAAGTTGAAACTTTTAACTGTTCAGAACAGTTTGATATAGTTATTGAAGCAAGCAAGCTTTCTAATTTAATTGCTTAATTTAACAAAATTTAAGTGATTAGATAAATAGGTGAAACCTCATAATATGTACCGATAGTTTTACTCATACCTATTGGGGTAATCATTTAAGTGATGCTGTTTATGTTGGTCAAGTTAAAATGCTGCACATATGCATGAAGGGAAAAGTGTATTATAGGGACAAGTTAATCGGAGTTGAGAAAGCTACTTTCCAATTTTTGCACGAAATTAAAAAATGAATGATTTTAATTATATTGAAGGTGCGATAGAAATGTCTTTGTGTTGAGAGCGCTCATAATTGTCAGGGAAATTTTCCTATCACAAAGTATGAAGGATAATGTTAAACGTATCAAGTAGTTGCTTTCATATATATAGAATTTACATTTCTAATGAATCAATCAGTTTTCATTTCAATTTATTTGTTCATTGTAAACTTGCGATAAATTCATTTTGTTAATTGTTCACTGCATATAAACTGGCTGATGGTGTTGGAATATTAAGATAATCAACGATTTTCACACATGAATTCCTCATATCGACAAGGTAAAAACAATGATTCTCCTATAATTTCATCCTAATAACTCTTTCATCAGTTTATTAATAAAGATTTTGTAGGCGGTGATAAATTTTCTAGAAAACTACTTATAGATATGAAAACGATTTTTAAAAAATCACTGGAATGAATAAATTTGCCCTCAGATTAATGGTGTGGTGTGGTGACTTACAAAATGAGGATAGGAGAACTGATAACAGTTCTCTCAAAGTCAATAAACTTCTCAAAACCTCTAAACAGGTTTCATTAATTCGAAATGCGAAATACTTTTGATTTATAGAGACTCACTAGCTGATTAGTAGGTTCGAAATCATGCGATTTAAGAATCGCTCAATCTCTTTCCAATATTATACTCTTGGTTTAGATTGTTATTATTCGGCATTTATGACTCGAATTCGACTAGTAATTCAAATGAATAACTATAAATATCCTACTGTGAAGCAAAAATCCTTTATTCTTCAAAACAGTTTGATTTGTTCCATTCAGTTATGGTTCCCCACTTATTTTACCTTCAGTTACTCACTATCTCCAGGGTACCTGAATGGTGAATTGGCTTAAGCTTTCCAAATTTTAGTGAGGTTAAAAAGCTACAAGCAATCTAAACCAAATGAGAATGGCAGGGTCTGATGGACTAACCCCTGAGATTTTTAAGGATGATGGTCTAGATTTAGCTAAAATTTGGGAACTGAAAGTAATCCGATCCTATTGGTTTCGATCGCTGATCGTCCCAGTCTATAAAAAAGAACAGAAATCTCCTTATGACAGTCACAAAGAAATCCGTTTCATTAGTATAATTTCTAAAGTATTGGCCTCGATAATACTTCGACATCTAACTGTAGCCCATGAAGGGCAAACCCGAGGAGACTAGTCAGTTTTCAGAACTGGACGTAAATGTATAGAGCAAATATTAACCCGTCGGCAGGATCTAGAACATAGACATACTTTTCGACGTCCGACTATAGTTTCATTCCTTGACTTTACGGTGGCATTCAACTCTGTTGACCGTGAGGTTCTGTGGCCGTGTCTGTCATTGAAAGGAGTATCAATGAAGTGCACTAACCTTGTACAGGGTCTCCATTCGAACACTACTGGTCGAGTGAGTGAGAGCTTATGGGGGAACTGCCATCGAAATCGGTTACTTCAAGTGGTGTTCTGTAAGGTTGTCCGCCTTCCCTACTTTCATTTAACTTAGTTATAGACATGCTTTTAGAAACAATGCTTCCATCGCCTAACTTTTCAGAGGTTGTTCTTCAATCAGAAAATGCACTTGTGGATTTGTAAATAATAGTTCTTCTAAAACTTAGTTAGATTTGAGTAGTGAAAAATGATGAGTCTGTTGTGGGTAAGAAATAATTTCTGAATGATGAAATATTTCAAAGCTTCGAAAGCCAAGCAGTACTACTTATCAGAGTCATTGAAGTTTTGAACTTGTTGTCTGTATCCGCGCATGGCACTGTACACAATCGAGGTTCATACCTTCAGAGCGTATGGGGATCAATACACCTTTGAACCACTGATTCGAAATCCAACAGTTCAAATTTTCAATTTCAGTTCATTTTAAAGATAGTCCAATCCTCATTCCGAGTTATTGATAAGTTGCAGTTGCATTTCTGACATTTTTGCCTCCATACATTACAGGTTCTCACTAAAATTTTCAGAGAACCACTTCACAGATACTCACTATCGAATACCTAATGGTAATTAAGTTAGGCATTTTCACGAAAATGTGACCATACTTACTAAATAGAAAATTATTGTAGTCGAATATTCCAAGCCCAACTTACCTACTTATAAGTAGTCTAAAATGCTAATCAAGTTTTATTTGTTACGGTTAGTTTTATGAAAATAATAAGATGATATGTATGATGATTTCTCTAACTTCAATTGACTATTCGAAGTATACTTTTGGAAAATGCATTTCACCACTCAAAAATGTAAGCTCTTCATGTCCGTGTTTA